ATGCCCATTTAGATCAAATCATGATTGTGTGTAGTAATTATCTACTCCCACTGAGGTATCCAACAGGGAAAACTGCTTATTAGGATCCTAAAGAAAAGGTCACAGACTTTAAAAAGAATGAAATGGAGACATGAAACAGGCATCAGCATGTACAAATATGGTTACACTTGAAAGCAGATCAGATTGAGATGGGTCTGTTGGACACTCAAATGCCTTTGATTGCTTACAGAACACCCTGAAAACAAAGCAATCCAGAGATCTTAGAGGCAGCTTTGAAGCAGAAAATGAGATTCTCTGCTTTCATTTTCAGGAAGTCAACGCTGAACTTCTAAGAAACTTTAAAAAAATAAAAGCGAGTACTAACATCTCAACACAAGAAATCCTTAGAAGACCAGAGGGAGGAAATGAGAGGAGGGAGATCCCAAAAATTCATCAGCAACAAAAACCACCCTGCTGCAATGACCCCGACAGATCTCAGTATGGAAAACTACCCTCCTTGACATCAAAGACATCCATACCACAGATCAAACACCAGCTTTCCTTAGCAATACCAAACATCTGCCAGATATTTGACGCAAAAGTATCTGTGAGGACCCTCAACAAACCATTAAATATGAAACGTATCCTCAGTCGAGCTTCCTTGAATTAACAATCTACCGTGGTTGCAAAACACCACTACCTAACGCTGGTAACCTGCCACAAACTGAGAATTCATTTTTCATATACGAGAAAAGCAGACATTTCCCTGAATGAATTCAACCTCCTCCTGTCTATAAATACACTTGTGGTACATGTACATGACGATAAAGCACGCCCAAAGCTTACTGTCAGTCCGCCTACAGGGAATACACGTTCCGCATAACATCACTTCGGATAAGCAGCAAGTTCAGTAAAGGTAAGACTGGGCAGAAGGTACAACAAACACACTGCCCTTCATTAAAAGATACAAAGGTCAGTGGCAAAGTTCCTTCTGACTTCCGTAGCAAAAGCCAGAGGAAGCTCTAAGCGTTATCAAAACACAAGGTGGGATGAGAAAGCACAATTATCCAGAGAGCAGACAGACGAGCTTGCAGGAAAGTACATCCAGCCCAGCACAAACAAGCTATTTAGTGCTGGGCTACAGCCAGCTGACCCGACACAGCCGTCCTGCGGATCTGTGAAACCAGAGCTCCGCTGGAGGCTGGAAATTCAGACCCACCCTGCAGGTCACCCCCCCCCCAGTCTATCCCTCCTGCCAGAGCTTTCAACCACTGCTCTGCGTATGCACACAAGTGGGTATGTGTTTGGTAATTACACCAAAGGGACTGAGGGAACGGTATGTTTCTTCAGCTGATCAGAAAGTTAGAGATCTTAACAAGATGACAGAAACAGTGTGGTCATAGCCTGCTGTTTGAAAACAGCCAACTCTTTCCATGTAAACAAATACTCACCTGGCCACAGAATCGGTAAGATGCACACTTTGCGCAGCAGGCATCGCAGCTAGATTAAATTCAGTGTCATTGAAGATATCTATACTGCATCAGAAAGGGAGGAGACATGCAGAGGATCCTGCCCAAATGGCATTTCTCCGTGGTGCTCTCTAACAGCAGTACCAGCACAGTGACAGCCTCTCTTCCTCCAGAAGGTGCTGATTTTTCGCAAAGCGTTTTCCCTAGTAGATCTGCAAATCATTTCAAGTGCAGTCTCAGTGCAGTGTCAAAATAGAGCCCCTACGAGCGGCTATCTTGAAACAACAGGGTGGGGTGGGAAGTGATCTGATGTTAAAGCTCTATCCCAGATTCAGGCAAGTGCCCTTGATAACCTGCATGGAAATTTTATGAAAGCCAAACCACTATTAAAGGTGCATTTCCTAAGTTTTGTAGTTCAAGTCTTTCCTGGAAAGACTCATTTCTCCCAAGTAATAGCAAGCACCTTTAAAAAAAAAAAAAAAGACAAATATTTAGAATTTTTATATTGGTACGCACTATTTGACATTAGCTATCCAAGGCTTATAAGAAAGTACTACCAAGAAAAAAAAATAATCTAATTTTTGTGTGCATGAACACTCATCTCATTTTACAATAACTAGCCCTTATCCCGTTTTGTTCGGCAAACAACTACAAAGAGTCAAAATCACAGAGTGATGGCTGAACTCCAGGTAAGTGCATCACTTAAGCTCTTCTGACCCATGAGCTGTTAACACCATGACAGCCGCTCCATGGGAAAAATCAGTCTCTTGTCTCACAGTGCCTACAAAAACTCCAAATATCCTAAGCAAGAAAGCTGGCCATCTCTTTTTAATCCAGAAGACAAGGGGGACATAATATTAACAGTAAGTAGAGCTTCAAGATAGTTACAGAAAATTAAAACTGGTTTCTTTACATAGAATAGAAAGCCTTTTCCAAGAAAGCTTTGAAGGGCTCAAGCTTCCTGGGAAATTCAACTTCGTTGCAATTAAGTCTATTTTAGGGAAACATATCTCAGTGCAACAGTTCACCGAGTAAAGTATTTTAAGGAGTTAATACTCACAGAAATTCACACACGAAATTTATACCGTTAGAAAATGGCTACTTAATCCTGCTTCAAAAGCAAAGATGGAAATTGGTTTTAAAGTTCTTACTTGACCAGCTGGAAAGCCTGTTTTATTAGGTTTTTTTAAGGAGTGCTTGAAAGATTTACCAAACACACAGCGACACAGTGCTGTTTCCATGGTCACATGCACTGGAATTTAAAGGACTTGGAAAAATCAGTCTCCATGTATCATGAACTGCACTAATACTTTTGCAAGTGTAATTTACTCCCTGGGCTGCTCTCACCACATGCTCTTCTAAGCCTCACGGTCCCTTCTCCTTTGTACAGGAAGCCATGCCGCACACCTCCCTCCCTGCAGCCTACACAATTCAAACCAAACCAAACCAAACAAGGCTCTTTAAACTCAGGTAGACAGGGAAGAGCCCCTGTATTCATATCAAAGACCAAATTACTGGGTTTTCTTTCTCAGCACGGCAATGTCAGTAAGCAGCTGCAAGCGCTGTATGCGGACATCCGCAATTCAGAGGAAATTAGGATGTCTGGTAGAGCTTGACACCCTTACCATTGCTAAGTTTCCACTGTGCCCTGGCTAATCAAGTTCTCCAATTATTCCTGGATAAATGCGTGTTTACAAAGCCATACACAGAACAGAAAGCATAGAAACTTACTGGATTATTTCAGAAACCACAAAAATGGGAGATTCTCAGACTAGCGCCTCCAAAATACGAGGCAGACACATTTGGAACTGCCCTCTTGTTTCCAAAGGGTGAACTATCAGATTAAGATACACCAAATACTTTCCCTAACATCTCTCCCAGGGGAAGGCTTGTAATTACCACCAAGATATTCTGCAGCCACGGGTAAGAAGCTGAGCAAAAGGAGATTTGATCTGCAACAAATGAAAGCGTTTGTGGAAACCCTAAAGCAAAAGACGGGTAGCTTCAGATCTACAGCTTACAAACAGATCTACGGAAGACCCTCTGAAGGATGGCTGCGGCTACTGAGCACCTGCCATGAGCAGTGCGAAACAGCACACCACTGCCAAGTTGTAGTCTAAAAGCCAAAGAATGTGGTCAGAGATAAAGAAAAGCCCATGATGCTTCACCAAAGAAATACACTATACTATTCTTTAACCTCATATAGATTAGTCTTGTGACTTATTAAAGCCACCTTCACATTTACTAGGGTGCAGCACTGCAAGAAACAGTTCCCATTGGGGGAGCAGTACATCAAACTCCTTCATGGATTTGCCAGAGTCTTGTAGGAGCTGAACTCCATACAACGGTCTCCTCACTGAGTGTATAAACCAAATTTCCCATCGTCCTCCACAGGCACCTCTTTCTATAAAACTTGAAGGTTAGCATCTTTAATACCTTGGCTGACATTTTGCAGCAGGTCCAAAAGTTGTTGGAGGTTGTTTTCACAAACAAAAGCCTTTTCATCCAAGATCTGGTTATTCTGAATTACTGGCCTGTTTCCAGGTGTTCTGCTGCACTTGCGCCGTTTTATTTTACAATGAAAGCGGTTACCATTTAAAATGAACTATCAGGTGTTAATCAAGGTAGGTCAGGCCACCAGCCAGGGTGAAACAGGCTTTAATTCTGCTCCCACTGCAGAGATCAGCAATCTCCTATTTATAGAAAACATGGAAGCGACTGCAATCCTCTTCTTGCCAAAGCAGCAATTCAGAGACATTGTTTACCCCAAACAGTTGCAATGATAAAAAGACAGGAGCCCAAACAGCCACGCCAGTGCTACACAACTACTTCTGGTTAATCCCAGCACTCTCCCAGTGCTGGGATTTTTGCTGGTGATTGCTGGTGATTGCTAATCACCAGCAAAAGCCACTCCGCTTTCAGGACAGGCCCTCTGGATGCTTGCACTAATCACAACACATTCTCAAAACTAACCTACAGCTGAGTCGGCCCACAGCTGCACAAGAGCAAGATACCAACACTCAACAGATGGAGTGCCTCATCTGATGTGGGCAATGGCTTTTGCTCCCATTCAGCGCTGCTCTTGTCCAAGATGAAAGTAGAAAATGGCTAAAACAAAGCACTGCAACAATCCGCTTCTCTCAGAGAAGAACTGTTCTGTTTAATTTTAGGATTGTCTTTCTTGTCTCTTTACAGTTGTACGTTTCTGAAAACACAAAC